AGAACAGTAAAGATCACAGATAGTAGTTATTTCCAACAGGTAAAAAGACAGCACAGAAAGCCAAGTCATTCAAATCATATAAAACTAATTAGTCTTGCACACCTACAGATTCAGGTCTGAAGTGGGTCAGAGCATCAGTTTGTAACATGTTCACATGACAGCTTATAAGGCGTGTCGTGTGGGGTAGAAACATGCAGGGTTACATAGCACAGACTACAGAGCAGTTTTACATGTGGGAAATTCATTTGGCTTAACTGTTTGACCAGATACTCTGATGGAAAAAAAAAGGAGCGTGTCAGTGTCTTGCACATGAAGCAAAAGTTCGACATTTCAGGAAACGTGTATTTGTTTTCAGCTGGAGTCGGATGAGAAGATGGACACCACTCTCAAATCTGTGAGTTACACAGACAGCTCCAGCCTGCACCTGTAAAGCTCACTCATCAACACATCCTTATATCAGTTGGCTGTTTTATGTTGTGGGCCAGACTATTTCTTGGCTCTGAGATGTTGTCAGGTAACCAGCTAACAGACAGACATAAGAGTGGTATCAAACATTTCAATCAATTTTCTGCTCGGAAGAAAATATTTTCCAAAATGTTGAACTATTCCTTTAACTTTTAATATGAGTCTGTAGGACTCATATATTTATCAGCCCTCTCTTAATATGAGCGCTGATATGAGTTCATCTCTTTTGTGTCATATTAACATGAAGAACTTCACCTCAGATCAGATAAGTGTCTAGTTAGGACCTAGGTCTTTTTGTGCTGTAAGAGCCGGGCTCCTGGTTATTCTGTGTGTTGATTTAGAATATTATCATGAATTATAATATACTGAAAATACAGAATTTTCACTTTAGACAAGAAATGATCTCACACATCTCCCATAAAGCACTGCATCTACAATACATGGGTAACAAATAGCATCATGGTATTTTAAGGTCTTGAAGAGAAAGTATTAAAGGTTCAGTGTGTAGCATTTGTGATATCTAGTGTTGAACTTACATGCAGCTGAACACCCCTCACCTCACCCTCCTCTCATGAAAAAGAACCTGTGGTAGCTTCAGTTTTCATAAAAACTCAAAAGGTGTTTAGTTTGTCCAGTCTGGACTAATGTAAAAACATGGCAGCCTCCGATGTAAATACAAAGTATTTAAATATAAAGGGTCTTTTCTGGAGTAAAGAAAACTACAATTCATACAATTTAGATGAAACGAACTAGTGAAAACATCATGAGAATTATTCTACATTAAATTTCTGCCAATTGTTCCCTTTCACCTAAATCTTACACACTGGACCTTTAACACTTTATTTTACCAATCATATATTTTACAGCTAATTTCCTGAAAACTTTACTTAAAATGCCCAACAATTTTGCTGGTATTTAACTGTAAATCACAATGTCCTGCTTAAAAATGGGTAATCTGGGTATTGCTAATCTGTACTTTCCATCTGCATTGGAAATTCTTTAGTTTTGTGTTTTAAACTGATATGAATGATGCTAATTAAATAAAACCCTACATGTGATAAAACTTTACAGACCCCCACAGTTATACTTTAGTCAGTTGATGGTAAGTAAAGTATTTTATACTTACCCACTACATCATTTCTTATTTTGCCACACAAATAGCACAACCTAGTGCTTAGCAACAGCAGAAACACCTTCTCCTTTTCACTTACAATTAGTACTAAACTGTGACGACATTTCTTAAAACGTCCTGTTGATTTACAGGTAGATAACAGCCAATTGTACGACATTTTGCTGATCATTTTCAGGAAGTCTGCTCGAAAGAAAGAACCTGTTAAATGTGTGGTTACTGGTGTCATGTTCCAAACATGTCAGAATGTGAAGATTAGGAAACCAAAGGGGCTTCCTCTGCATTGTTAACTATTTAAGAGAAAGAAAATCTCCTCCCCTTAGAAAAGTGACATTTTGTGTTGTGAAATCTACTTGGTACGGGTCACTGTCCCTTATCTAACATCTCATTGGCTTTGTGGTAAGTGTGTTAAGGCCTGTGGGGGTGGCCTGCCTCATCAGCCAAGTTGAGGATGTAGCCAGCTATGTCATCCTCTGTGGGGAAATCAGACATTACCCACGATTCATTGGCAGCAGTCACTTGCAGGCGGCATATTGGACAGTTTCGGCTCTGCCCACTCCTGCAGGAAAAGAATGACCATTTGGGGTGTGTATCATAAGAGACAAAAACATTTCTGTGACAAAAATAAAATGATTTACAAAGGAACAGATTAACTGTTGAACCAAACTGAAGCTTTTTTTTGTCATCTTACCATTTATCAATGCACTTCTGACAGAAGCTGTGCGCACAGGGCAGGATAAGGTCGGCCTTTCCGTCCATGCAGATACAGCACTCCTCCTCATCAGTCAGCTGCTTCACTCTGCAGAGAAACACAAAGAAACAGGGGTAAACTTTGAATTATTTCCAAAGACAAAAGGTGTTTTTTCACTGAGCGGCCGCTAAGTTAGTCTTGAATTAAATGCTCTTTGTAAGATGAATTTAAATTCCTTGCTGGCTGGGGATTTATCCCTTGAAGACAAATATCTTTCAGTGTTATAAAAATGAATGGGAATTGAGACTCAGCCTGCCCCAACCTCTCTCTATGTCTGGAAATCCATTGTCTGAGAAAACGGGGGCAAGAAAACCAAAAAACACAAGCTGTAACGCAGAGTGGCAAAACTTTACATTACACATAGTCATTTAATCAATAAAATACTGATTATTACAACTATATCTGAAATCATTATATTGTGGTTGAGCAGAAATGTTTCTGGTGTGAACCCAAACACCAGGATAGTTCAAACTGCAATTCAATGTCATCAATAAAGTTAATTTAGATAGGCCTCCATAAAGTTGTAGCGAGTAGTGTCACAGTAAAAACATCATGACTTCAATATGAAACCTGCCTAAATAGCTCACATCAGGGGAAGTAATGAAAAAAATAAATGACGATGAATAAATTAGCCCAGCAGTGTGATCCTGTTTCCTTTATCGTCTGTTATAAAGTTGTTGTTTTAAAATATATATAGTATATTCCTCAAGTTATTATATTATCTCAACATGTCAGTCCTGTTTGATTTTTTTTTATTTTGTAGTTTATTCCTGTGAGTAACTGATGGTTAAACGTTTCCTCTGTATAAGCTAACAGGCCCGTGAGGAGGGAGGACATGTGGCAGTGTAATTTAGTACGGTTCAAGGATACTGGGCCTATAATGGGTGTCTGCCCGAATCCTGAAGCAGCTTTGGAAAAGAGATGAATAATAATGAATCATGAGAATTAATCATATTAATATTTGAATTATTATACATAATTAGATCAAGGGCATTATCTTATTGAAGTTTTAACCTGGTATGAAGTCATCAAATGTCCCCTATACTGAAATCAGACATCGGTGTTTAATACACTTCCTTGGCAGACGTCTGCACTCCACTGAGCACATTAGCTGATTATAGAAATAATTATTGACAACTACTGTAAGTTGCAGGAAATATGGTCACAAACTCTGTTCACGATTTATTGCATTGAATAATGGGAGACTGTCGGCTATTAAAGCAAAATGATGTCATACTATGCTTCTTGCGTCTGTCAACAAAGCCATGGATGATCGGCAGGAGCACATGTAATAGCACCCATGCCTCTGGTCTTGTTGTCACCATGAGAGCTAGAAATAGCCCACTGTCATACACTGACTCAATGTTTAGGCACATGGCACTTAATAAAATATAGTTAACAGAAGTGTCAGCACTAATACATTGGGGTATTGTAACGTTTTTTAACAGCAGGGTATTGTGATACTTTACACAACACTAGAAATTAGTCTTCCTGACTAAAAGCACAACAACACACATCTGGTTCAAAACCTTTAAAAGATTTTGTAGATTTTGTAAAGTAAGACTTGCATTCAACAGCTTATGTCACATTCGTCCACAAAGAGTCTTCGTTGTGAAACAAAGAATTCAAATGGGTTTAATGTGAAAATACATATTGGTAAAATACTGTACTTTGACAAGGATCAAGTCACAGACCTGCCCATCCACATGCTGGCCTGGCAGGAGTCTGTGGAAGGGAGCTGGCCAGACGGGCCTTCGTTGGCGCCCTCTGCAGACAGCACCTCAGCAGCCTGACTGGTGATGTCACGGTACAGCTGGATGAACTGGTACAGGTTCATGATCCGTGATGCTTCCAACGTACCACTCTCCTTGTTGATCTGAGAGGAGGCAAAGGCAGTCACATTAGGACTCACTGGTGTAGTTTATTCATTTTCTGCCACATCACTAAAAGTAAACATGGAAGGGTCATTAAATAGTTCATAAGAGAGAGAAATAAAACACCATATGATCTAGTGTTTCCTATTATTTATCTAGATTGCGGCAGCCTGCCATATTCTATTCAGTCCTGCCACAGTTTCATAATGAATCAAAACATGTTTATGCCTCTGCGCTGACTACAGCCAGTTGCCGGAGGTATTATGTGTCCAGGTTGTCTGTCCGTCCCATTTGCATAAATACGGTATCTCAAGGATGCCTTGAGGAGGTTTCCTTAAATCTGGTACAAATATTCACTTGGACTCAAGGATGAACTAAAAAAGATTTTGGTGGTCAAAGCTCAAATGTCAAGGTCACAGAGGTTTTAAAAAAAATGTGTGTTTTGAATGTGATGTCACCGAATTGAGGGCATTTCTTCAACTTCTGATCAGTTGTCCCAAATGAAGTGATTACATTTGAGTGGTCAAAAGTGTCACAGTGACCTTTTATGAATCTGGAAAAGGGTTACAACCGCAGCGTGCAATTCTAATTTACACTTGTCATAATAACTTAAGAGATCTCCACCTTGGTGTGTGCAGCGCTATTTGCAGTGCTACTGCATATAGGAAAGAGAAATTAGAGAAAACAAATGTGAGGTCACTAAAATTTAATTAGACAAAATGAAACTCTCTGTCGAGCAAGTGTATTGAATAATGTAACTATATATTTTTTAGTTAAAGTTTGACGTTTAACTGATTTTGTGGCCTGTTAATGAGACTGACAGCATGAGTAGAACAGATAAATTGATAACTGTTGTTAAATGTTAACATTAGCTGGAAACGTGTTGTTAATATGTAAAACCAAACAGAGAGAAATATGTTAGATATTCTTCCAATCTTCCAAACATCTGTCCGATAATTGTCTATTTCCAATCTGATAAATCTTTCTGACTCCATTGAACTGACACAAACATGCAAACTTTCTCCACAGTTTGCAGGTGAATGGTTTCAAAGGCATCTGTTTCTTTATCCGTCACAAAATGAAATGGTGCACACCGGTGCATGGGTTGGCATGTGATGTGTGTGCACAGAAGGACATGTGGTCTCACCTTGGTACAGACAACCCTGACGGCCACCTTCCACAAGGCCGTTGCATCGGATCCTGGCTGCACCTCAAACAGAAGGTGCTTCTGCTGTCCGGCGGCAAGCTTGGCCGTACTGAGAGAGATCCAGCAGAGAAGAGTAGGTATGTGCAAAATTTTGATTTCATTCCTGGTCATGCTGAGTGTTAGATTGGTGAAAGAAAAAACTGCTGTGCTTGTTTTTTTTACTGGTGGCACTGTCACACACATAGAAAATGGCTGAATTAATTCGACAGTACATTGTCAGAACAGCTCTGGACATACAGTGGCTTCAGAAAGTTTTCAGACTTCACTTTTTGTACAATTTATGTTGAATATTTAATTTGAAACTGATGAAGAATTTAAAATAAAAATCCATAATGATGAAGTTAAATTATTTTTCATTAACAATCAAAAGGTTGTCAAGATCTTTTTTTTTTTTTATCAATTCACAATTGAAGTAACAACACAATAAAGTGTGTAAAACATACTGAAGTCACTTAACTACAGGTGATAATAGAGAAACACTGGGAAAGGCTCCAGCCCCAGCTTCCCCCTCAACTATATATGGATTTAAAGGTCCAGTGTGTCAGATTTAGGTGAAAGAGATCTATTGGTAGAAATTGAATGTTGACTAATCCTCTTGATGTTTTCACTAGTTTGTTTCATCTAAATTATATGAATTGTAGTTTTCTTTACCCCAGAAAAGGCTCTTTATATTTAAATACTTTATATTTACATCGAGGGGGTCCTTTCTATGGTAGTGAAATTGCAAGTTGCTGCTGAACACCCTTCACCTCACCCTCCCCTTCCAAACATGAAAAACAACCTGTAGTGAACTTCAGTTCTCAAAAGGTGTTTAGTTTGTCCAGTCTGAACTACTGTTAAAAACATGGCGGCCTCCGTAGAGAGGACCCCTCGATTTAAATATAAAGTATTTAAATATAAAGGACCTTTTCTAGGATAAAGAAAACAACAATTCATACAATTTTGGTGAAACATACTGGTGAAAACATCATGAGGATTATTTTATATTCAATTTGTGCCAATTCACTTAAATCTTACATAGTGAACCTTTAAGTAATGAATGTTTCATTCCGTATTTTTTAGTTTTTTTGGAACAACTTAGACTAGCTCACTTTAACCACATCATCCTGCATTCATAATACCATCTCTGAGGGCAGGTGATCTAAATTTAAAATGGCAGAAGCTGGGCCTAATGGACCAGGGGAATAAGGTGGGCTACAGAGGGAATAGTGCTGCAGCTCTTGGGTTTAGCTCTCAAATTGTAACAACCTAAAGAACAAATGACAAATCCTACAAAACATCCAGGTTCAGGCATTCAGGTATTCTTTGTGATCCAATTGACGTCAACATACGTCCATCTTTACATCCCTCTCAGTCAGTCACTTGCTATTTAGCCCACTGACCTCCTCTACAATATAAATGTACAACCCTTTAGTAAAAAAACAATTGGAAAATGCAAATAAAAAAAGACAGCAGTGATTTCTTGATTTACTTTCACTTGTATTTCATTGCAGACAGTTTAAGCACAAGATATTTTATGTTTTGTCTGGTCAGCTTCATTACATTTGTAAATATACATCCATTCCTGCCATTCACAACACATTCCAAAAAAAGTTGGGATGGGGGCAATTCAGGGCTCGTAATGAGGTAGAATGATTAAAAGATGCGGTGATTTGAAAAAGTTAATGTCAACAGATGATTGTAATCTTGATTTGGTTCAAAAGCAGCATCCAGGAAAGGCCTAGTCCTTTTGGAGCAATGATGGGCTGAGGTTCACCAGTTTGCTGACACAGGTGTGAGAAAATTATTATTATTATTATTATATATATTTTATCCTCATTGTGCTTAACATAATTAAAAGATTCAAGGAATCTTGATGATTTTCAGATTTTCAAAGGGCAAGGGCGCTGACTGACCGTGCTCTATGATCCCTCAGACGACTGCATCAAGCACTGTCACTTGTCTACAAGCAATATAACCACATGGGCTCAGGATTACTTTGGCAAACATTTGTCAAGCACTACAATACGTAGTTACATCCACAAATGCCAGTTAAAACTTTACTGTGACAAAAGGAAGCCTTATGTTAACCGTATCTAGAACCACCGTCGACTCCTCTGGGCTCAAAGGCATCTGGGATGGACCATAACACAGTGGAAATGTGTATTGTGGTCAAACGACTCAGTACTTCAGGTCTTTTTTGAAAGAAATGGACGCCATGTGCTCCGGACCAAAAGGTACATCCAGAGTGTAACCAGCAACAAGTCCAAAAACCAGGGTCTGTCATGGTATGGAGTTGTGTCAGTGCCCTTGGCAAAGGTAACTTACACTTCTGTGATGGCAGCATTAATGTTGAAAGGTACATAGAGATGTTGGAGGACGACATATGTTAACTTCAAGATGACAACGTCCGTGTGCATATTTCAACAATGCAAAACCACATTCTGCACACATTACAAAGACATGGCTGCGGAAGAAGAGGGCGGGGGTGCTGGACTGGCCTGCCTGCAGTCCCGACTTGGCCACAATAGAGAATGTGTGCAGCGCATTTTGAAAACGCAAAATACGACAACAGAGACCCCGTCCTGTTGCACACCTTAAGACTTGTTTGCAGGAAGAATGGGACAAAATGACACCTGCAACGTTTCCTCACTCTGTGTCTTCAGTCCCTAAACATCTTTTAAGTGTTGTGAAAAGGAATGGCAACATTAGAAAAGTGGTAAATGCTTTACCGTCCCAACTTTTTTGGAAATACAGTATGTTGCAAGAATCAAAAGGTGTTTATTTTGAGAAAACAATCAAATGCATGAGGTCAAACGTCAAATAATGTGCTTTTGTATCGTTTTCAATGTGATACAGGTCAAAGATCATTTGTAAATCACTGTTCTCAGTTTTCATTTTAAATTAAACATTCCATCCCAACCCTTGCTGATTTGGGGTTGTACTTATTCCCACTGTGCATGTGCTGGTAGCATTGAACAGTTATAGTCTGAGACTTACACGTCATTAAGCTCGGCCACTCGAGCCAGGAACTCCTCGTAGGTGAGGTAGCCACCGTCACGCACCAGTCCGACGTGTTTCACCAGCTTCTCAGGCAGACGGGTCATCACCGACTGACCTGAGATCTGCTGGCCCATCCCGGCAGCAGCACTTACAAAACAGCAAAGGTAGAGGACCGCACCTCATTCAGTTCTGCAGACTCAGGAGACAAATAAACAAATAAAGGTCTGTTTTCACAATCCAGACTGGACAGTTTAATTGTGATCATGCTGACAAAAGTGCACTTATTCCTTACTTGTCTATGTCTGACTGTATGTTTTGTCTTATCACTTGTGCTTTGTGCAACAACAAAATTGACTTGAACGTGTCTGAACTCAGCTGCAATGTCTTGTAGAATCACCTTCCTGTTACGAGAGGTCACTTCAGTGTGAACCAAAATGCAAAACTGTACTTAGAGAAGAGAAGATGCAAAATCTATTTGACTGTTAACATTACAGTGAATGTGCAAAAAGTTTTACTTGGCTTGCTATCATAACCCAGTCTTCAGCCGAGCTGTGCTCTCATAAATTTACTCTGCCTGACAACATGTGACACCATTATGTGGCTCTGACCAAACTGCTTATAAATCCTACAGTCAGCTGAGAAAAGAGCTGGGACTTGGTAGCTTGATGATTGATCCAGAGTTGTCTTGTTTCTGCTCAAGTGAAATTACCTTTGTTGGATCCATTTGTTTGATGAGGCAGTTTTATACCACTAATTTATTTTCACATTTTCTGATGGAAATTAAATAAGCCAAGCTTTACAGTACACATATCTGTTAAACAGCCTAGATTTGTAAGGTCCAATACTAATTGGGAACAATAAGGCCTGATTCAAAGTCAGCTTTCGAGTTCATCCCAAAGGTGCTGGATGTGGCTGAGGTCATGTTTGTTTGCAGGCTCGTAAAATTCTTCCACACCACCAGGTTTGTGCAAGAAACAGGATCCCTTCGGCGGTGAATAAAGTAATCTATCTATCTATCTATCTTTCCCAAACTGTTGCTACAAGGCTTGAAGCACATTTTAGTGAAAAGTGTTCGCTGCAGTGCGAAGATCACCGAGTCGAACATGCACATAAAGGTCTCTAACACATTTTTACACATAACTTTACTGCAGGCCACAAAGTTCCCCTTTCACTGAGCACTTTATTAATACTGTACTGTAATAATACTGGGCAGTTCCTCTCTCTACTCAGCCCCAGTCCTTTGTGGTAGATGTAAACTTCCCTTTGAGATTTCTGCTCCACATTAAAGCTGCCATTCTTTTCTCTGACCAAACCCCAAAGGTGCTCTGTTGATTTCAAATTTGGTGACTGAGGACAAGTGTACTGAACTCACTGTCATGTTAACAAAACCAGTTTGAGAGGACTTCTGAATCATTCTGGTAATATTTATTAGAAGATGGTAAACTGCAACCATAAAACGTGATGTGCATGGTAATCAACAATGCTCATATAGTCGTGGTATTGTGTGTAAAAATACCACATCAATAGTTTCTGAAATACTCAAACTGGCAACACTTAGGACACAACATATAAAAGAATATCTATAATCAATATCAACTGATAGGAACGTTATTATATATTAATATAATAGTTGGGCATATCCTGCAGTCCTGACTCTGCCTGCCATCACAGGCTAAAACGTGGAAAACATAAACAGGTATACACGTGTTCCTAATAAAGTGCTCAGTGTGTGTTCATGTGCTGGGTGATGATCAGACAGCGTGTCATACACTCGTGTATTAAATCTTAATTGGTTTAGAAAAGTAAAACTATTACTCAGCTTTCAAAGACTATTGTTCACTAAGATATATAAACCAACCCTGTCAGAACAACAACAGATACACAACACTTCTACAGTGCTGAGGCATCAGATCTCAGTTAAACACGAGTTATGAGTTGATCAATTAAACTCACAGGGAGTGCACGCGACCTGAATAAGCCAAATGATTAGCATCGGATAACAAGGATGCTAACGCTGCGGACGTAAAGGGACTTACCCGTCAATTCAGCCAGTGACAGCAGTGAATCTACTGACTTTTTAAAAACACCATGTCAGTGAAGGCTAACCCTCCTCTGGAGCTCCAGTCCACACAGACTTCTCTACCAAAGTGACAGCGATAATGAACGTTCGCTAACCATGAAAAGCGTCATTTAGCCCCAGACTCAGCAGTCGGCGAGCCTCGGGGTGGAAGAGCAGACGAGCTGTGAAGAGGAGGAACACTGGCGTGACCGTGCGGCGACAGAAGACCACAGTGAAACAGCTTTCTTACCAGACTGTCAACACCACAGGCTGAAGTTCCCTGCTAGCTCTGCTGCTAGCTTCTGTTTGGGTTGAAGACACTCGGTCGCATGTGTGATGACGTAGACAGATGACGTTGTTTACATCAGAAACACCGTATTTACGCAATATTTATTTAACTGTATTATAACTTGTATTCCTCGAAATTCTTGAAACCTATAGAACAAATATAATGTTTGTAACGTATAATCTATATTTTATCATTGCACATATACAAACTCCATTTGGTCATATTTTATTTCATACTGTACGACTAATGATAACATTGAAATGAATTGCAATACATTACATATTTTAAAGTGGATAATAACTTTTTAAAAGTTCACATGCACAAATGTAGGATAAACAAAATAAACCCTAACTTTGCTGGCTTTTTCCACAATTCAAAAGATTATTTAAAGATTATTTAGTTGATTTATTCCAAAAAGTAATATGACTGTACAAATATTGCATTGCCTTTTTAAGGGGGTGTGGTTGTATGTGTGGTTTACTTGACTTGACACAAGGAGAGTCCCTTAAAAAGATCTGTATGTCTGCTCATCCCACAAACTAAATATCAAGTGTTTCCTCTGTGTGAACAGAACTGACAATAGTTTCAATATTATTTGAACTTTCATAAAGTTCAGCAAAGTTATGTAAGATTCACTGAGCATCTGCCGATGTAAGTACATTTTTGGGAATAATCATTTAAATTCATATTGTAATAAAAAAACACATGTAATGTTAAAAATATAAGTAATATTTCTCTCTTAAATGTCAGATTTAGCAGATTTAGGTCTAGCATAACTTAAATGTATGATGATGATTTCAATAAACCATTGCATTTATTCATAATGTATCACATTGGCTCGGAATAGTGCATATTAAGACATCACTAGGTAATTTACAGCCTTTATATAAAGTTTCCTTTTGGAAATGTAAAGCTATTTATATGACGTCTTGTTGAATTGAATTTCAATTATCAGTTTTTTTAATAACTTTTTGTCATTGTTGAATTCATCTTTTCCAGAAAATTCAGATCCCTCTGTGCCAAGCCGTGAATTTACCAGCAGATGGCAGCAAATAATACGAAGCAGAAACCCAGCGACAATACCACTCATGGAAAACTAAGCTGTGAAGGATGTCAACATAAATCCATGATTTAGTTAGCACAGGGCTCGTTTCTTTATTCTAACAATTTTGAATGAGATTTGAAACTTTTTTCATTGTCATCAACGGTTTTTTGTTTTTTTTTGCAGGCAGTGTTTACACCTTTTCATCACATTTTACACATTTAACTTTTCTTACCATCTTAAATTCTTAAACATGCTCTCTTCACCCTCCATACTCACAAATCCTCTCCAAACTACAAAAATACATTGTATGGACATATACATATTCATAATTTTAGAAGTGAAAACAGATATTTAGCTCAGAAATGAATCCATCCTCATTCTATTTCAAACTTAGAAACACTGAATGGGAGGCAGCTATTCATTCATTGATTCTGGCTGCAGACATCAGCGTGGACTTTAAAAAGGATCTGAACCATTTATAAGAGGTAAGCTTGTTGTTTTTAAGCTGAGGTTCTGAGGAATTCCATTTAAATGTTTAGAAAGAAGGAGAAATGATACCAGTCAGGTGTGAACAATTTTATGTACAGATTTTTCTGAAAATTAACATTTAGTATAAAGGCTTCATACTGTACATGTTGGTCATTTGAATACATCCCAATAAAAGCAGTAGTACAGTACAGTACAGTGGATCAATGAACAACCCAAGAAAAATATGGATTTTTTTAGATCCAGTAAACAGCAGTGTTCCAAAATGAAGTGCATCCATCATTAACACTATACACACTGATGATGATCATTTACAAATATCCTCTGTTACTTCTTTAACTGACTCACAGGCTGCGTCGTCCATAAGCTGATAGTTCTTATGATGAGCCACTCTTTCTGATTGGCGGTAATAACTATTCTCACACACTCAATGTCAAAGCCGATCTTGTGGTACACATTGTTAACCTCAATGTTACCACCTTTAAACTCCCCTAATGTGATGTATGATAAACACTGTCTTCCCTGTTTAGTTTCCACAGACTTCTGTCCCACTTCCAGAGCTCCATGATGAAGAATGTCATTCTGCCGATCCTCTGTACCTGTAACTATCTTAATTCTGCTGACTTTAGTTGATTTATTAAAGATTATGAGAAAGAAATCTCCAGTGCAGGGAGGTTTCCCCCAAAAATACTCATCAACGATACTACTGTAAGCCTTGGTGGCGTCATAGTTTTCAAAGACGTTGATGTTGGTGTAAAGGCTGGCAGGGGGGTTGTCAGGAATGTCTATGGAGTCTTCCTCAAAGTCGTCGTCCTTCAGTTTGTTCTCCGCTCCTTTGTAAGACGAGTAGTAGCCCATGTGCTGGAAAAGTGAGGGCTTGAAGCGGATCACGTCCTTCTGGGCCAGCAGACCCCTGAAGTGGATGAGGAGCCAGTCACAGGGCATCTCCTGGTAGAACATGAGCAGGAAATGAGCCAGACGTGGCAGGTCTCTGGAGTGGTACAGCTTCCCGATGTAGCCCAGCTTGGAAAACTCCAGCATCACCCAGTAGGAGCCTTCTCTGGAAGTGATCACCTTCTTCAGGGCTGTCAGGAAGTTCCTGGAGCAGCGCACGTCGTCCTCTAACATCATGTAGAAGTGAGAAAGGTTCGTGCAGAAGTTGAGGAGGAACGCGTAGTCGACGTTCTGCTTCGAGCGGAAACGGACACGGTCCTCCGGGTCGTTATAGTTCCTTTTCAATCCATCCAGCGACGGGTAATACTCCTCTGGTGCCTGGATCACCAGGAGGCGTCCGGATATGATGTGGTGAGCAAACTTCCTGGTGATTTCCTGCACCAGGTTCTCACACCAGACCAGGTCAAAGTCGGCCAGGTGGACCACAACCACTATCTCTTTCAGTTCCTCGTAACTGGACTGATCAAAGATGGATTTGATGGTCTCAAGAAGATAGTTCCCTCTTTTCCTTTTCACTGAAGACAGTCCAATGGTAAGATACTCTGTGGACAGAAAATACATTAGTCAGTTATATATTTCTTGTTGCTTTAAATGAAATATGTTTAGACCTCAGAACCTAACATCAAACAAGTATTGCCTTGGTAGAGACACCTACTTTTGCGTGGGAGAGGAGTCCCAGCAAGATAGCGATAAGTCACATTAATGGTCCCAGAGAAGTTGGATAAGTCTCTGAATGTGTTGACATATCTTTCAGAGTTTGCAGGATGCATCAGTGTCTCCCCCAGCCGTCTTTTTTCAGCCTCCTAGAATTATAAGGACAAGATTACAGGAAAATGACACGAGAGCAAACATCTGACAGACACATTTGAGCTTCATCATATTTCATAATGAGAGCAACCTACCAGCACATATCCACCGTCCATGTAAAGGTTAAAAAAGAGTAGAAAGGTGATGAGGAAGCCAAGAAACGGGAACATTGACCTCTTCCTGAAACACCTCATCTTGTCTACGGACTTCCATATCAGCCTCATGATCACTGCAGGAAATCAGAGACAAACAGAAAGCTGGTCGATGAAAGGATAGTTCAATGTATGAGAGCTTTTATTCATGGCTCATAACTACGCACCTTTTATGAATTCTAATCCTTGAAGACATTGGGGTTATGACATTACAATTAAAGATGAGTGAATAGAAGAATAAAAAACCTCATCACCTGCTTCAATCTAAAAGTAATGTAACGTAATGTATCCGTTTTGCTGTTACTGAAGTAAAATATCAGACAACAAATCAGCAACTTGTTTATCAAACACAAATGTCCATAATTCACCAGTTTCAGCTTCTCAAATTTAAGAATTTGCAGCCTTTCTTTTTAATTTAATTCATGCAACTCGATGTCTCTGGATTCTGATTTGGAAAAACAAGCACCTTCTTGTTAATGTATGTATATTATATATAATAATGTATAAATAATGTATATATAAGGCTGTTTATAGATGATCAACAGTGGAGATGGAAAGGGAAACATGGGGAGAGAAGGACAGCAAGACCTGTAACAAACAACAAGCCCCAAATAAGCTATTTTACCATCTTGGGATCCGGAAAATCGCTATTATCATATTATACACATATTTTTTAGTCTAAATTAGAGATTGATGAATCATCAGAGCAGCAATGGTTGATTTTATCACAAAGAATGAACATTTTATTATTCACACATCTAGGAGACCACTATTGGTACCTTTACTTATTTACCAACAATTTGAGGTCTAATTATTATTTGGGTATTTCCATTTTAAGCTAATCTCTACTTCTACTCCACTATTACTTCTAGAGGTAAATATTGTACTTTCAACTCTATCCACCCATCCATCATCTATATGACTTTCCACTCCTTTGAGGGTCAGGGAACACCTTGAAAAGGTCGCCGGTCTATCACAGGGTGATCTACCGATTGCTACCTCTCTTTGGATGTGTGAGGAAGTTGGAGTACCCAGAGAGAACCCACATAGACCGAAGGAGAACATGCAAACTATACACAGAAAGATTCTAATCTGCCGTCAGGTTCAAACCCATAACGGCCTGACTTTTCTAAGCTTTATTATTTTGTGAAATCAGATTATTCATACAAAACACAGATAACAAATCAATTATGAGGTATTAATATAGATCAAAAAAGAAAATACACAGGCCATCTTCTTGAAAGTGATGCAAACTTTGAATGTGAAAATCAGTCAGTGATTATAAAAAAAGGTCTAAAATCATGTGTGAAGAAGGCCTACATTCACAAGATTGTATCTAACTGCTTCTTTCTGCTGTTTGGTGTTGAGCAGGTAGAGCACAGTGGGTTTTTAAAGCTTTCCTGCTAAAACACCTGCAAATAGAACAGCACATACACAGCGTATACTTCTGCCATGGCCCAACAATCCTCTTAAATTCAATCAAGCTGCACCAGTTCACAAACTCATAAATATCAGTGCCCTTAATATGAAATCCATGAATTATTCCTTGGGAAATCTGTCAAAATGTCAAAAAGTGCCACAATGTGAAAAGAATCTGAAAAGAAATTCCTGGCTCCACTAGGATCAGGCTCTCTCCTCACCCATATCACTTCCTCTCACCAAGTTTCATGCTAATCCATCCAGTAGTCTGTTCATCTGATTAAAACAGGCTTGATGAACTGTGGACCAGAAAACCAAAACAATGAGCTGAACGATGCTAAAATGTCAGGTTAGTGGACGACCTGCTGCAATGGAGATGAGTCAAATGATAACTGTCTGTGGGTTCATCGTCACTAGGAACAAATGCTAAATGGACATTCATCTGGGATATGATGAGGCACCAACACCACTGACACTGATACAGAAGGCTGATTTCAAGGTTTATCAGTGGAATAAACTAAATGATTGCATTTATCTAACTGCTCCTGAGAGGAGACATCAGCCACCAGTTCATATGACTTTCAGAAATTACTAAACAACAGTGACATTTAAGAAACAAATGTTCTCACTCTTGTTCCGTGTGACTTTTCCTCCCAGAGTAGACATTTAACTAAAAAGAATGATCCTGCTCAGTATCTGTCCTATTTGGCATCACATCTGAAAAAACCCAACTGATCCCATGACGTCCTCTCTAATTCAGATGCTGCGTAACAACAAGACAAAGCCTACAATGTGAGTAATCATGAGCTCCCCAGTGACAGGGACAATTTTAGCGTAGACCCTCGTCCCTGCCGCTGGGCGCAGTAACTCAATAAACAACTTAGTATTCATTGTGTTATTCGCTGCTTAAGTTCCATTTTAGGAAGGAAAACCATCTGCAAGAGAAGATAGTAGGCCATTTTCTGTTTCTGTCACAAAAGTGCTCCAAGGTGGCACCTGAGAGACGTAGTGGGAAGAATAAGTGGAAACACAATGACAGCTGTGAGTCAGTATTATGAAACCCCCACCTCACAAAAGCACCTCAACAAACACTCACGCCATTATTTGAGATGGCTGCCTGCAAAATCAGATATCGAGAAGATGGAGGAATATCTAATAAGGCGTCATAATGGCCACATGCTTTCTGCGGGAGAGGAAATACTGCTATGAAATGTGATTTTTGTTTTCCTTCTCTGAGTGAATCTAAACAACAAACAAAGCGAGGAGAGGCCACGCACATTTATATGGAAATGAAGCTACATCTATGAATAAATAAGCACCAGTTGTTGGACCTGTTTGCTTTAGTATAAAATGCTCTTCTGCTGCCAAGTTGTTTTTGTTTTGTTTCTCCCTCAGAAAATTATCAGTGTGTACGACCGGCGAGCTCATTTCAATGGTCGAAGTCATTTTAGATTAGAGCTGGAAAAGTAATAACAGGTACAGAGGAATACTAATGAGTTCCAGGATTAAACAATGTTATATGTCCTATGGGAGGGTTTATCTTTACTGGGGAACATTAAACAGTCTCTGGGGGATTTGTCCTGTCCACTAATCTTTTGTTTTATAAATGTAAACTCCACAGATGAAGGGAGTTACAACAGTGCTTAATAATAGTCGAAGCCTGCCTCTCCTAGTTTACAGGTAAAACTTCTGCTTTCAATCTAAGGGAGGTTAAATTAAGATAAATTGAATGATTCAAATAAGCAATTTCCCAATCCATTAATATTTCCAGGAACTGCATCTGATCAGACTCAATAATAGCTTGGGGACAAATTATATAACAGGTAAATTGTCTGAGGATGTTGCCGCAGTGAATGTTAGTGAATTACTCTCTTAAATTGCACATTAAGGCTGCCAGCAGTCAAACACTCTCTTTAATGTGTTTTTTCTCCTCACTCAGTCTGTCTGTTCATCTTAAGAGCAAAAAGCTGCAGGCACATTTCTGATATGCATTCATGCAACGGAACAATCAGATTACAATTGTGTTTTAGTTGGCTAACGCTAATCATATCAAAAACGTTTGGGATTACCCAAACCTTAGCCCTTGAAAAACAGTGCACAAAGGATTTTCAAATGGGTCAACTATTAGATTAAAGAGGTGGAGGGGTGCATCTACAGGATTTGAGGCAGCAGTATGTACAATTTCTGAGGCTCTCTTTGGAAAAACAGGATATAATCCTCATATTTAAGTGTTAATAATTTCGATAGAATGAGCCATACACTGTATATTCCTAAATATCTCCATGACCACGGGTCCCCTATCGCCATGTTGGATCGTCATATTGCTACAGGAGAACCCATTTAATTTTGGCTTGGATGCAGACAAAGTTAGGTGCTCTACAAAGTGCAAGTCTCCTTATTAATGATTTAACTATGAGTAGCAACTGGAACTTGAACAAGAAATATCAAACACAACATTGTTTGCACCAACATGCTGGCAACATGAGAGCTAACTGTGTAAAACAATGGCTCCATTTATTTAAATTTCCACCCTAACTCTTTATTTTATTTTTTATGTTTATGTGCATGTATATAATTATAACCTCATGTTTTGCTTTTAATGTTTTTCTGTAAAAATGTTAGAGTCACATAGTTGCGGAATGGACACGTCCAAAACAACTCTGTAAATGTACAACTAGAATATCACTCATATACCTCCACTTAAATCAAATCAAGCCTTATGGATAAGGCCACAATTTCAAGCCCTATTTGTTACCACACAGCAGATGAAAAAACCCATTAAAATGGGTCTAGATCTAGATTTTTGTTTAGAAATACAATTGCACACACATCGATAACAACCCTATAAATATATCTGAATTTCTTCATCAAGATTCACACATGATTTGCTCTGAAGTTAATGAAAATTCAGAAAAATGTCCTCTCTCACAGTGTTAAAGAAAGAAAGAAAAGTCCTGGATCCAAAGCTAAATTTAATGGGTTCTTCCCTGACGTAAACTGCATCCTTCAACCAGGTTGTTTGGTAATCTTTCGAATAGTTTTTGCATAATCCTGCTAAAAAACAACGAATATATAACCTTCCCATTCAGGTAAACGGGGCAGTGGTCTCACAGAAAGCCAGTGCTCTGGTTTGTAACACAGGCTTTCTGTGGTATAAGTTTGCAATACACGACTCCAATTTAATATTTTCTAGGACCTCAAAAGCACATCAGAAGCCACAAAACATTATGATGATGTCAAATTTTTCACAAATTGAGTAGTACTCCCTATGATGAGATAACTGAATTTTAGAAGTGAAATTGATGGAGTTGCGATTTGAAGCTATGACATGTGGATATAATCCAGAGTTTTTCCAAGATCATGTAATATCAACATTTCCAGCCCACATAAACCTCGGATCTGAAAATTGTGTTTTAGTGCATCAAAAAGAGAAACCAGTGCTGACATATGGTTTAAATAATGACCAGGACAACGATGATGCATTAAAAAAAACAAACCTCTTGCCGATGTGATCTGCACCTTCAATATTCCTGTGAGTTGTTATTGCTAACAGATCCTAAAATGAAGCCTTCTTAAAATCTGATTTGAGCAATAATTTAGAAAATACAAGGTTTTTTGCAGAGTCAATAAATGGATCAATGCGAAAGTCGGCTTGAAG